GTATTTGAATAAATGTAGATTGTTGAACACGAAAAAAAAAATCCTCTGAAAATAAGCCCTAATATGTTTTTTTGGAGCAAAAATCAATATAAGACCCTGTCTTATTTTCGGGCAAACATGGTAGTCTTAAATATATCACAAGACTTTGGGTTTATGTTTTTTTTTTAATCTTACAGAGACTCAATCTAACTTCTTCTTTGAAAATTACTGCCCTATACAGAAAAAACCTGGAAGCATGAGGGACATGCAGAATGCCTTTGAAAATTGCTTTGCACGAACATGTCAGCTGATCAAATACAATAGCTGGACTGGAATTTCCTTAACCGTACACACCTCACTAATGTTACAAGATCTTCACTGGCATTTAGGGGGCAATGTTAAAAGAATACTCCTTTGTTTCGGATTTTCAGACATCCAACTTTCTGCTCATGCATAAGAGATAAACAGATGCATTTGTTTAGCTTCCTACTGCACCCCTCCCCATTTTTTTAAAAATGAGAAAATCTAGAATGTGTTTTTTCTCCTGGGCTTTCCCTTTGAGAAATCTTCTCTCATTCTAGACCATGTTAGAGAAAACCCAGAGGGAGGAAGTGTGGTTCTGTTTCCTGAACAGAATCAAAACCTATCACTGGGGCAATATTTATGTGGAGGCAGAGGGCCTGTAGCTCTCTTTATGTTATTGGACTATCAATCCCATCATCCCTGAACATTGGAACATGGGAAGATGGAGGAGAGGAGAAAAAAAGAGTGGAAGGCTGGCTGGAGCCCTGATGAGGAGCACCCTTGCTAGGAGGGAAAACACAATAAAATGTTTTAATTTTGTTTATCTTCCATGTCTAACTATTAATTCATCATAATCAATTACAATCAAAGCAAATGTTACATCATCAGCATAATACTGTTATAAATACAAGTACTGACCATTTTTGAACTAATCAGTTTTTTAAAAAGGATTTCAAAAGGAGACCCCTGCAATGAAGCATAAGTCACATAAAATCCATGTTTAAGTAGCTACAATTGTAAACATTGTTTTACCTTTATTTTGAACAACATATATACATAACTGGTGCTGGCACACCTAGAAAAATGCAAGCTACGTAAAACACTTGTGTCAGGCAAAATTTAGAACCTTACAATGTAACAAGACTACATTGGCAATTTCAATCATAGACAAAAGTTCCTCCAATATGTACAAAGACCATGGCCACATTAAAACAATACATTGAACCCACCTTAAAAAGACAGACAGAGAGGGAAGTGAGTAATTTGTGATTGAATGAACATATCTAGAAAGTGTGACAGAAAAGGAATAGTCCAGGAAAGGGGAAATAATTGCCCAGCACCAACAGGATCCAGCACTCCTTTTGAAGATTCTATTATGTGTTGTTCTGCAAACATAAAAACTATGGGAGTTTCCCTATTACACATTTAAAATGCAGCATTGCCAAACTGCTGAGAAATCAGATTCATTTGGGTGATCCTGCCTAGAAATGTTGTCCCTTGCATCTTTAGAAAGACCAGTGGTCCCATGCCCTTTCATATAATTTTTTAAAAATAGCCCAAGCACCTCCAATACATATATACAAGTATGTCTGTATCATAAAACCTATTACATATACATTCAGGTTAGGTGGGACCAAACACTTGCCTGTTTTTGCTTTCAAGAAGCAAAATGCCATTCATCTCACAATCACATAGTGATCCGTTGCTGTTTCCTACAAGAAATGTGAACTCCAAGAAATGGTAGCTTTTGCAATAGAAGTACAACCATCATCACAACTACTTAAGGGGGCTAGGAGAACAAGACCAAAATAATCAAAACTCTTGTATTTCTAATAACCATGTACAAGTCTGAGAGCTGGACGGTAAAGAAAGCTGACAGTAAAAAAAAAATGATTTGTTTGAAATGTGGTGCTGAGAGCTTTGTGAGTATACTGGACTGCCAGACAGATGAACAAGTGGGTCCTAAACAAATCAAGCCTGAATCATCTCTGCAGACAAAAGTTATGAAGTTGAGGCTGTCACTACTTCGGACACATCATGAGAAGGCAGGATTCTCTAAAAAAGACAACAATTCTGGGAAAGATTGAAGGCAGCAGAAAAAGTTGAAGACCAAAAACAAGATACATTGACTCTTGTCAAGCCACAGGTTTGAATTTGAAAGAGCTGAGTTAGGCTGTTGAGGGCAGGATATTTTGGAAATCGCTCATTCATAGGGTTGCTATAAGTCAGAGGCAACTTGATGGCAACAAGGGTGCACAAAGTGTCTCTAATTCATGTTTACATGAAGACAGATTAATGCAGAGGATAGATGATAGAGTATCACAGATGATACTCCACGGATGCTGCCTTGTCATGGCAAAGGGGCAGAGACACCCGAGACGGACAGATCATAGTGGAGAGTTCTGACTAAACGCGATCCACCTGGAGCAGGAACTGGCAAACCACTCCAGTATCTTTGCCAAGAAAACTCCATGGACAGAAACAAAAAGCTAAAAGATATGACGC